AGGATATGTAGCCCCAGCTAGGTGCTACTTTATAGGATGTGTAAAGTTAGACTTGTGTTCATGGAAATATGTGTGTGTCACCTGTGTTTGCTATGAGGGTATTTGAATTGATTAGGGTCTTTGGTGATTCAATAAAATGTGGGGGGAAAACGGTATAGAAAGCAAACATAGATACCAGAGACAGTGTGGGAGGAGAGTGGGAGATGGCAGAGGGTAAGAGATAGGGAATCAAGGATGGGGGGAAAAAGCAAAACATACAGAAAACAAGAAATGGAAGATCATTTGCTGACAATAACATGTTTGTTGATGTGCTTGATTGAGATAATATACAGTGTACTCTGGATGGAAAATCTCATTTTGTATGCTGTAATGATGTACAGTGAATGAATACAAATAAATAAATTGAAATTAAAAAAAAAGAAAAGGTACTTTTATCAAACTTCGAGTCTAAGAATGTACAAGTGTTTCTTTTTGTCATGTTTACAAGTAATTGTCTATGCTTTTCCATTTAACTGGTTTTTAAAATTCCACATATCCCCATTATTTCTTCTGTTACAGTACAATGTTGGGGAGGAAGAGAGTTGGTTACAACAGTCCTCTAAGCCGTTTTCTGCTGTCCCTTTTTTCCAATCAGAGATTTGTGGATGTGAGGGATCACACTTCAGCAGTGAGGTACTCCCGAATTGCAGCACTGTACACGGCAGCAGTGGCACCCACCCTTCCATGGCTTGTGGTGCGAGTCTTCAAGCGTCTGTGGATGCGGCCCACAGGAAACTGCAACCCAGCTCTCTGTGAGTGAGACACTGCTTTAGCCTTGGCCTTCCCACTGTCCTTTCCTGCTTTTCCTCCAGCCTGATCTCGGCGCTGACTCTGCCTCAGCTTGGCTGCGGGCCCTCCCGCTGGCGCCTGCGCCGCCACCCGCGCTGCCACTGCCGTTCTCCCATTTCATCAATTTTAAACTACACTTTCATGTTTTAACATCTTGGATGTGGGCTTGTGCCTAGAAATCAGCTATATCTCAGCATTGGTTATAGTGCACCTGAGGGTGTTATTCCTTTGTTAGTGGTATGTAAAATAATGGTGCTGCTCCAACTTGATGGCCTCTTCAAAGCAATGAAACATGATAGGTAAGGAATAACAGACATGCAAACAGGTGGCTGATGGGCCTTGATCATGCTCTTCCCTCTGCCTGGGGACTCTGTACCTCCAACTCACCAGTTCCAATCTATTACTCCTCAACTCCTCCTGGAAGCCCTCTGTTTCACCACGGTCTCACCACCCAATCTGGATTTCAAATTCTTCCTCCAGGCTCCTGTACTTGCCTCTGACCTGTATTTATCACACTGTTATTTTTGACCTGCAATTGGTCTACCCCACCCTTACCAGGCTGTGAACTTCTTGAAATCAGCGATACGATCATATACCTCTGTGTTCTTAGCGCCAAGTGCAGAGCCTGCCGTGACGTAGAAAGTCAATGTCAGATGAATGGAGGGGTGGGTGGATAGTTACAGCAATACGTGCTCTGTGCCATGGGTAATACCACAGGGCATCAGGAGAAAGGAGAAAGGCCAGGAGCGGTTCCCTGAAGAGAACGGATCTGAGCTATTCTGGCAGGATGGCTGGTCCAATGACTGAGGACTGCGGTGAAGAATGAGAGAGGGGGCAGTGCTAGGGCCCTCCTGCCTTCCACCAGCTAGACCCTGTGGTGATGATGACCAAGCTGATTTGGGTTTGATTTTCGGGAGTCTATGGCGACCCTTCATCATTACCTTTAATAATTAACCCTAACAATAGAAGCAAAGATTCAGAGGAAAAGGCAGTCCAACCCTTGGTGAGCTCTCACAGGAAGTCATGAATATACTTAGTTTTTGTGGTTTAGACCTCAGTGCTTCCTGCCAGAGCTCAACAAGGCTTAACAAGTCTAAGAAGCCCAGGAGAAGGTGGGCAGACAGGACCACAAACATGGCACCGACATTTCAAAGCATATGCCTTCTCACCACCCACTGCTTTAGAACTTTAACTGAAAACTGTTCCCCACCCCACAGCTTCCCCTAGATATCTGGGGATGGGGTCTGTTCTTTTCATAATGGTCACTGAGGACACTCAGCATTTGCTGGATTGCCTCTTGGCCCACCCTTTGGTATGCCCACGGTGGGTTCGTAGTGTCTCCGGTACTCATGCGCTCTCCTCTTTCCAATGGCTGTTCAGACGTTCACTGTGAGCACATCTGAGCCCTCGAGAAAGTGACAGCCCAAATAGTAAATTTCCTGGTGCTGCCTGTTGAAGTTTGCACACAGAGGTTTCAATTCATCGCACAATTTTACAAGTGGGTTGCTGGGTCCAGCTTTACAGCCGAGACCTGGGGAGCCTGTCCTGGTCACTCTGGTGGGGACTGAGGTGGCTCAGGTGGGTTGGCACTGCTGTCAGGCCAATGAGCCTTCTTCTCATTCAGCAACTTCCTCTCCTGGACACTGGCCTCCTTTCCATAATGAGCAGACACGGGGAGCAAGTCAAAGCTTTTATTTTTCTTATACTCACAGGGTGAGCGAGTGTCCACCAGGGCACGAGAAACCCAGGAGTCTCTCTGGCAGACAGGTGCCTGCGGGAGACCCAGCCCGGCACCCATGGATCTGTACCTGGGCACGTGATCTGAAAGGAAGGCAAGCTCACCTCCCACCTTTCTCCCAGTCGCACTGCTATACTTCTCCCTTCCTGGTGGGACAGAAATGTTCAAGGAGGACAAAGACTCCAATCCAAGACCACGCGGCCGAGTCAGAGGCACAGGTGTGGCTGTGGCCCAGGAGCCCTGGGGGCCGAAAATGTTCTACACGTAGAAAACGCTTGGTGGGTGTGTGGATATACACTCCCAGAGTGCAGGAATCCAAGCCCTTTGACTGGAAAGAACAGTTTTTTTTCTCTCTCTTTCTCTCTTTAACGTTTCTTTCTTTATTCCATGAGAGTGAGTGCACATACCCCAAACAGGGCCTTGATACTGTGATCCACACAGCTTCAGGCGACCTGCCTGGGTCATGGGCACATGTGTGCTGTGTACTCTCCAGACAGGAACTGGCTGGGGTGAGGCAGCCTCACAGAGCCTGCGTTTTACCACTGCAACACCATCTCCACCCCTTGTTTTTAGGCAGGGTTTCACTATGTCACAAACCTCCTGCCTCAGTTCCCCTGGGGGATGGGACTACAGATGTGCACCGCTCCCCTGATGGTTAGGATGGACAGGAATTGACCCCGGACCTCCTACATGGGCCTCAGCCTGCCAAGCAGCAGCGCCTAGCAGCATGTGCTACTGTGGCTGGGCCTCTATCTCTTTTAGTGAGAGGGGGACTTTTCTGTAGCTCCGGGGGGAGGTTTTGGCTGAACCCGAGGTCTGGGGAGGGGAGGGCCTTTCTGTTGGTGAACTTGTGTGCCTGATGGAGGAGGCCTCTTCTGCTGCTGGTGCTGAACGCGGTGGCCTGCAGGCACTTGGCGATGACCAGGTGCATGGGAACGATGACCAGGTGGTGGAGGAGGAGGCTGGGAAGCTGCTGGATTTTGAGGCATTGTGGCTGGAATCTGGTTGGGCTTTCGGGCCCTTTCCTTGGTAGTCACTCTGTGGGCTTTGAGCTCCAGTTCCGCATCTGCAACAACAAAGCATTTGCAGAGTTCACCTTGGCCAAATGCACTCAGTGTAAACATCGAGCACCTAGTGAGTACACAGCATCATGCTGGCTGCTTTGGGGCCTGGTGAGGAAGCAGCAGCTGCCCAACCCCACCCCCCTACACCGAAGGAGACTTGCAGGGGAGACAGAAATGCTCTGGAGTAAGAGCTTAGGGCTTTAGAAAACTCAGGGAGTCAGGGAAGAAGGCGCATAGGGGAGGGCTTGGTGCCTGGGGCTCCTGAAAGCAGAGACCCCAGAGCCCTGGCTCTGTGCCACCCTCAAGACTATGCCCTGAGAAAAGGCTCCTTGCGGTTGGAGCCCATTGTAATGGGACCTAGCAGTCACAGAGGAAATTAGTAACTACATTCCTTCCCGTGGGTTTCTATATTAAACCTGTCTTTTCTCCAATTCTGTTGTCATGCGAACTACATTCTGGAGAAGGGTTGGAGTATGCACAAGGGACTTTTTTATTCATACAGCTTTTTTTTTTTTTTCAATTTTGCCATAGGGTGCATGTACTCTCTGTAGACAGACAGAGAGACAGAAAGGGAAAGCGAGAAATCACTCCCCATGGGGGATAGCCACATCACTATCCCTTTCATTCTCCTCTAGGGATTTGGATCATGTGTGTGCCTGGTATGCTTTTCAAGCCACCGGGTCTAGGACCTAAACAACTCAGTGGGCCACATTAACCTTCATACCACCTGCTGATCCCATATGAAGTTTATTTATTTCTTTCTTTTAATGAAAAAGAGAAACACGGCGCTGGAAGGAGACAGAAACAGTACTCTCAACAGGGCCTTGACACGTGGCTACCCCCAGTCTCAGCCAGCCCGGATCATGGGCATGCGCATGCCCAGTGTACTCAGGGAAGTCTCTGGATGTGAACTGGGCATCTTCCATATCAGTTAGTCTTGCAGAGCGTGATATTTTACCTCTGCGCCATCATTCAACCCTGCAGGTAACATTTTAGTCCTTCAAAATGCACTAGTGAGGAGGCCCAGCTGCTACAGGCCTGGAGAGCTGCCCTCTGGCCTCCTTTAGGTTACAAGTCAGGTCTTCAGGTAGCCGTGCCCAAGGCCATCCTTGCCTAGCTCAAGAGGGAGGCAGGAAGAGAAGTTGCTCCCTGGGGTAAATTAATGACCTCCTAGAGCCCTATAGGGGTGTGCAGCTCGGGAAGCATAGACCAACTCCAAGCATCACCCCATAGCTTCGGGGTGGCGAGGCCAGTACGAAGGGCCTTCTTTGTCTCCTGATGGAAATCCAATCATTGGGCAGCTTTGGATGAGAAGACTCAAAGTCAGACAATGTGGCATTCTTTTTATTTATTTATTTATTTTAGTTTTTTGCCACAGGGCACATGAGTGAACCAAAGAGAGACAGAGAGAGGGAAAGTGAGAAATCACCCCCTGGTGGGATGGCCATGCTGCAGTCCCTTCTCCTTCATTTTCCTCTCATGGTTTTCGGTTCATAGGCAAATGCATCTGGCATGATTTTCAAGCCACCAGGTCCAGGATTTGAACTGCAATCACCCATGTTGTGGGAATCCAGTGCCTAACCACTATACCACCCGTTGGCCCCCAATGAGGTTTTGACGTCTGAGTGGTCGGTGCTCTAAGCTCAATGAGAAAAAAACAACAGGGTGGCCCAGAAAGGATGGAATGCATACTCTACATCATCTAGGGTGTCCCGATGCAGCTGAGGTTATGCCTAGGAGACTGTGGAGAGGTATTCCATCCATGTTCCCAGTTCCCAGCTAAGGGGGAGTGCTTGGTTCTATTTCATCCCCCTTGGAAAGGTTGGGTTGGCCATTTGTTAACTGCTTTGTCCACCATTTTGTTCATTTATTCTTTCAGGATCTCCTCATATTCTAGGTGTTAGGTGCCATTACTACATGTCACTCAGACACAAACACTGTCCCCAGGAAGCCGAAAATGGAGTAAATATAAACCAGCCAAGACTGGAAATCATGAAGTTGTTCTCCAGTAAGAGTTTGGGGCTACCAAAGGGGCACGAAGAGACATATGAATTGTGGAAGGAGCAGTGGAATATGGCTGAGTGTCAGAGGCCTCAGCCAGGTTGCCCAGACAAGGCTCTGAGTAACCTGACCAGTCAGGCAGGACTGTGAGTCCCCAGCACGCCCCTGCCAGCAACTTTGTCACTGCTTAAATCTATGCTCCAAGGAACTCCCCCAGGCTCATTGTCTCTATCCCCAGTTTTTTGGAGAGGTTTTTGCTATAGGGCGCGTGTGCTCGCCAGCCAGACAGAGAGAGACAGAGAGATAGAAAGCAAGAAATCATCCCCCAGGGGGATGGCCACGCTGCAATCCCTTCTCCTCCATTCTCCTCTTGGGATCTTGGGCATGCGTGCACATGTACCCGGTGTGAGTTTAAGCCAACGGGTCCGGGACTCGAACCGTGGTCGGCTACATGGGAGTCCAGCGACATAGCCATTACACTAACTGCTGGTCCCTCTATTCTCAGTTTTCATCTCCTGGGTACTCCATCCAACTAGGGTGAGGTAAGCAAGGCACTTGGGGTGTACAATTTAGGAAAGCACCTACTCTCAGGGCTATGCAAGGATGGGGTCGCCCTGAGCATGAGGGTCTCCTCTAATTCTGCACCGTGTGCCCCTTGCTTCATCCTCTTCCTAACTCAGCTCCTGGGCATAACATCTGAAGCAAATAATTTATTTATTTTTATTTATTTATTTATTTATTTATTTATTTTTGGAGAGGTTTTCACTATAGGGTGCGTGCGCTCGCCAGACAGACAGAGAGAGACAGAGAGACAGAAAGTGAGAAATCACCCCCCAGGGGGATGGCCACGCTGCAATCCCTTCTCCTCCATTCTCCTCTCGGGATCTTGGGCACACACGCACACACACCCGGTGTGAGTTTTAAGCCACTGGGAAGCAAATAATTTAACCTCATCAAGCTTAAGTTTCCTCCTCTGCGTTAATGTTATCTGTCTCCTAAGATCAACCTGAAAGCTGAAAGAGAAAATGAACAAAGCACCGAGGGTAGTGCCTGGCCTGAGTGATGTTTTTGTCAACATGGTCATCATCCCGGTGGTCATTTCAGCCTGGTAACAGCAGAGATTGCCTTATCTTGGGGTGACATGTGAGAGACCCATCTTGGAAGATGATGTGGTCTTTGACCATTGGGTAAAGGAGAAGGGGCCACAGCAGAGAATAGCCTGAGCAGGACACAGAGATGAGGAAGCCATGGGTTCAGTAAGCAGTTCCGTACCACTGGGGCAGAGGGTGTGGGGACGGCAGAGGTGCGAGACTTGTGCTATCCTCAGAAAGGTGACCCGGGGCCCTGCTGTGGGAGATGGAATGCTGGGATGTGGGGCCAAGGGATGGCTTCCTAAGGGATAGCCAAGGAGAACTGAGGAAAGAAGTTGGAAGTAGGGAAGTCAAATCCAAAGGCTATGGGGTCCAAGGCCACCACTGTCTGGAGGTCCAGATCCCACGTCCTCAGGCTGTGTGGGAAGTAGCTGGTGTGGGCATGCTCGGTGGTTCTAGGGAGAGACCCAGGGCAAGGGACTGTCCTGCGGTGAATGTGAGACTGCACAGAAATCCCGGGCCTCCCTACCCAGCTGCATGTCCCGCTGAGGGCTGATATCCCATCCCAGAACTCATGGTGACAGAGTTTTGTCACTCTCTGGTGTGTTCTGCTTTGGGTGGCCTGCATGCTCCCTGGTCCAGCTCCACACTTATGAGCAGAAGCTCTTCGTTCTTGGTGGGCTGCCAGGCCTGATCCAAGGGAAAAACCCTCCCAACCCTAACACATTCCCCACGACAATCGCCCTGTTTTAGGACAACTGTTCTCTTGTGAAAACGTGATGGGCCAAAATGATTCCCCCTGTGTTCCAGGGAGCTTGGTCCTAAACACACTTTTGGCAAGGATAAGATGTTTGTTTATGGAGACGATACTTCGGTGGGCCAGCTCTGTGACCTTGTGGTTATGGTAGCCAGAAAACACACAGCCAACCACACATTTCTGGTCTCAGACCTAGCGACTTGAGAAAACACCAGGCACATGTACGTGCCTGCCCAACATCCAGAGAGGAAGGAGAAATGGAGAGGATTGTGCTGTGACCACCCCGGTGGAGAATGCTTTCACCTTTCCCTTTCTGTTTCTCTCTCTGTCTCAGGTGCTCACACCCTCTAGCAAACAAACAAACAAACAAATAAATGCCATTTCCGAGACCAATCTTCCTACTCATAAAAAGACGTGGCTCCTTCGCTTAGGTCTACAATAGCCTCAGACTGAGCAGTGCTTAAATAGGGGGTTCCAATGAGGTCAGACTGGAGTCAGCCTCTCAAAGCTCCCACTTAGAAACATTGTCACTAAGACTTTGTTTTTCAGAAATCAAACCGACCACAAAATGGAAAAAGCTCTAACTGCTGGTAACAGCGCTGACACTCCGAAACTACCCATCTCCATTATTTTCCTCGCAGACGCAGGGCGTCTCCCCACAAGATGTTTCCATGGGGATTTTGCTGGGCCTGCAGTGGGACGAAGGAGGGGGCACTTACCGTTTTTCCTCCTGTTCTGTTTCTTCCTCCTGCTGATGTAGAAAATGAGCAGTGCCACGAAGACCATCAGAAGGGTGCCTGCTACACAGGTGCCGATGATGAGGTAGATGTTCAGACCCTTCTCTGCAAGAGGAGGAGGGATGGTGGGTTGGGGAGGGCTCCTGGAAGAGGGGACATTTCATTGCTCTGGCCAAAGACCTCTGCCCCTCACGTCAAGCAGATAAGAGCTTGATGGGACTTTTCAACCTTGAAAGGCTGAGCTCATGGAGGTGGTGAATTGTGTTCATCTCCGCAAGGGCCCAGCGTCCAGTGAGCCTCCTCTGAAGGCTGCTTGGCAGTCAGGTCTGTGGACTGGCAAGGACTGCTAGCTCACACGGCAGGGCCTATTCACTGGGCCTCCTTGTGCAGATATCAGAGCATTTGGGATCTGAGGAGTTTCGGGATGACCTTGTATAACATCTAGCTTTGAAGATGAGGCCCTGAGAGGCAGGTCAAGGTGCCTAAGACCACAGTATCTGATCCTGAGCAGTTCCGTTAAGCAGCCCCTTATCTTGATGTTTTTGCACTGTTCTGTTTAACCCAGCTCCCATCTCTGCCTTCCTTCCTGCACTGTGATTCTTTCTCATCCTCTTGAGGTGAGAAAGGTGGTTCCCAAAGCCCCAGGGTAAGAACTCCCTTCTCCCACCCAGCCCTCCAACCTTACACCCTCTCCCAGAGAGAAACTCGAGCACGTAGTGAGTTAGTGGATGTGGTCTTTGTTGTCTGGAACTTCAGTCATCGTCACACAAGGAGGAAAACGATGACTTCCATGTTAAGGGAAAAGGGTTGGAGTCTGGCTCTTCTGAGCAAGAGCTGTGTGACCTTTGGCAAATTTCTCCACCTCTCTGAGCCTGTTTCCTTCTTTGTGACATGGAGATAATGAAACCTACTTCGTAGGGTGGCTGTTGGAAGTTAATCAGATAATGAACATGAAAGTGCTCTATAAACTGCGAAACAACACACAAATGTGAGGTCTCGCTCTTACTAGGCTTCTATGCTCTGGTGTTTCAGGGAGCTGCTTTTCAGAAGGGCACTGGCCCCCTTGCACTTGTGAGGCAGTAGTTAGAGAGGCGATGGCAGGGGCAGGGGCCAGGGGACTGGTGCATCTGGAGAAGAAACTAGAGCTGAGCCCAGCTGGCACCACAAATCCAGCTGCAGAGTCCTAGGAAGAGACTGTTAAACAGGAAGCCCAGGATGAGCCCGAGAGAACATGTCAGAGGCTCCAAAACCAAGCTTAGATTATCAAATGCGGCTTTCTTTCCTCCAGTCTCTCTCTGATCCATTATTTACCTGCCAGTAACGCAATCTCTCTATGCTCTACAGATGAAGGGATGTCCCTTAGAGAAGCAGGTCTAATTCTAAACCATTGAAACTGGCCTGAGAAAGGTTTCAGGGTCCTGTAAGCCCTGCTGGCTTGGACGAGGGGCTGGGGCTGCTGCAGTCCATCTCCTGCTTGAGCTGGGAACTTTCCAGATTCGACTCAGGATGGAGCAGAGCAGGCCTGGAGTGAGTTGGGGGGCATGTGGCCAGACTGTGCAGCCAGAGGCTCATCCTAAGAGTCCTCAGACAGGGCAGCTGCACTCTCCTGGTGGGCACGCTTAGAAATGTAGGAAATGCCTCATGGTCTGTCCTCAGCCCCCAGCACTTGGTAGTGCTCTCGCTGGAGGATATCCAGCTTGTCCGGACACAGCTGAGACTCTTGGTCTTCCAAAAAAATGTCCTCCCAGTCGTTAAATTTCCTTCCTACACGTCTTAGAGACAATGTGCCCAGATGTTACTGTGATAGAGTATTTGTATGCCCAAGCCTGCTCCTCCTCCTAATATTTTGATTTTAAATTCATACTCATCCTATCTCATTTATGCCAAATGTTATTATGCCAAATGTTTAGAATCTGCTCATTGCCCCTTTCTGCCATGGCCTTTTAGAATGAAATGCCTAAATCTCTTTTAGGGTCTTCAAGAGCAGCCCCATTCTCTCCAATCTCCTCCTAGGTGTTCCTCTACCTCTTTAGCGGCCTCTCCTTGAACTGGCTCCTGCTCTATACCATAGAATAAAAGGCATGAGTGTTTCAGCCTTCAAAGCTTGGCTTAACCCAAGATCCTTCCTCCACTCCTCTCTCCCTGCATCCCTACTGTACATATAATGTTAGACCAGTGGGAGTTAGTGAAGATCGATATGAAGAGCAGGGTGCCAGAAAAAAATATACGACATCCAGTTAAATTTGAATTTCAGGTAAACCATGAGTAATTTGTAGCATTAGTATAGTCCATGCAATATTTGGGAAACACTTATACTGTATTTTTATTTGCTAAATCTGGTAACTCTGGTAACTCTTATAAAGGGCCTCCTATAAAGGGGAAGGAGGTTGTGAAGGCCAGGAGGGGTAGTGTCATTCTCTGTGAGGGGGCACATGGGTGGATGGCTGCTGGGCAACATGATGGGGCAGTGATACGCTGAAAGTCTGTGGTTGGCAGATTCTCAGCTGGCCCTTAAAGCTCCCTTTCTCCTGGTATTCTCACCTTTGTTAAATCCCCTTTAACTGAGTGTGAGCTAAACTTATTGGGTTTATTCTAATGGATAGACTGCAGAAATCATGGGTTATCGTACTTGAAATTAAGTTATAGAAAGACCATGGCTTTTGTCTTGGGCACTTATTCTTGCTTTTTTCGATTTCCCTGAGCAAAGTTAGCAGCCATGTGGTGAGGAAGCCCAATGGCCCGCCTGAGTGACCTTAGAAATGGATCCAAGAACCTACTCATCTGATATTCTGCCATCAGGTAGCTTATCTTCTTTGTGGACCAAGAGGCTAAAGTTCGAAAGGGGAAAGCAACTCTGTCCAAATCATTTGGGGGCCAGAAAGTGGCGTGGTGGTTAAGGTGCTGGACACTCCCATATGGTCGACCACGATTTCGAGTCCCAGAAATGGTGGCTTGCTTTCTCACTGTCCTCTCTGTGTGCCTTTTTCTGGTCAAAGGAAAATAAATGAATGAATGAATAAAATTAAGTAAGTAATTCTTTAAAAAAATCATTTGGCTAAATTTGGACAGACCCAAACTACAAGACCAAGTCTCTGGCTCCTGGACCAGAACTTGAGCACTACAGCAAGCTGGCTCTCAAAAATGACTTCTGGGGGTCATGTCAAGCAGGGACACTGTGAATAAATTAAATTTGGGGAGTTTCAGGACTCTGAATCTCGTCCCAATGCCAGTAGTCCTCCTATGTGTCCACAGTCCTCTCTGGCCTCAAATTCTCTATTTATCGCTCTGCTTCTTAAGGACTCTATAGCCTTTCTACCCTTACTTCTGATTTGAGATATTGACCCCTGACCATCTCCCTTTCAAAAGGGAATCTAGAAAGGGGAAAAACTGGAATCATGGTCATTTAGAAGCTAAGGGATCTTGGGCAAGTCAGTTTCCCTCTCTGGGAAACAGAGGTTTGCATGAGATAATCTCTATAGCTCCTTTTGCCCTTTCAATTCTGAAATTCTTTCTCCTGAAAGGATTTTTTTCATTGCCTAGGGTCAATTGTGCTCAGTGGGAGGACTCTCAAGATGAATAACCATAGATGACCTCCTTCTTTAAGGCTTCCCTTGAAGGTTTCTAGGAGAAAGAAATACAATTTCTCTTCTCATCCTGAGCCAAGACTGCACCCCTGCCCAGGCCCTTATGTCCTGGAACAGGTGTGACACCTGTCACTTTGCTTGTGGAGTGCGGGTTGTGTTTGTGAAGTGAACTTGGGACACCCTGACCACTGCCTGCCACGCACCTGAACAGCTGATGGCTGTCACAGTGGATTTCTCACTTAGGCTGTTCTTTGCCGTGCACGTGACTTCTGTGGGCAGCTTACTGGTCCACTTGTGTGTGAGAACCTTCTGAAGGATGCTTCCCAGCTGTCTTCCTTTCTGAGATAGCTTTAACTGAGGGTCAGTTCCATCCAGTATCTCACAGGTCAGGGTTTTATTGACACAATTCCAGGAGATCTTTGGTTTTGAGACCATCTCTGAAAAGAAAATAAAGATCCAATCATCTTAGACAATTGTGCTACTTTAATAGAAATGGGGTTGATTGGGGGAAGGGAAAATCATTTCTCTCTCTCTCTCTCTCTTTTTTTTTAATTGCCAGAAGGTCCATATGCTCTCCAGAAAGGGAGAGATAGAAAGAGAGAGAAAGCAAAGATGTGTGGTCATGCCACAAGCCCTTTTCCTCCATTTCCCCATCCTGTCAGGATTTGGGGCATGTATGTATACGTGCTTGGTGCGTTTTTCAAGTCATGGGGGCTGGGATTTGAACTGTGGTCTGCCTTGTGGGATCTGCTCCCAGTGCACAGTGGGGCCAGTGCACAATGAGACCAGCCCAGAAACAATTTCAAAGGCCAGCACAGAAATTATTTTTATTTAATATTATTTACATAGAGTATTCAGAACAAATTTATCTCTGATAAAGTTCACATATAACACCTATAAAAAGTGTATCATATCTAATATTTATGTCTTTTGTACTTTAACATATTTTCACATGCATGGTATCATCCAGTCCTGAGAGGCTAGGAATTTTTCCTACTGACAGACAAAACATCTAAGGCTCAGAGAGGTTCAATGGTGGTCTTAGGACACTCACTAGAAAATGGCAGATCAAGAGAGGAGCCCGACTCTCCAGGAGGAATATGGGCAAGAGGATTGTTACCATAGTCTGATCCCAGTTGCCCTCAGGAACTTATGGGAGTTAATGTTTGAAGAACAGCCAGGAAGCCCATCCTGAGGGAATTGCTAAGTGTATGGCCTGGAACCTGGGGTACCCTCAGAGGAGGGCATTCGCATTGCACCAACCAGCATCTGCCTGTCCCAGGCGCCGCAGGGCCTTTACAGACATTGACTCATTGAACATCCTGAGAATTTATTTCATGGGAAATCAGACTCAAGGCAGATAAGGAATTTTCCCAAGGCCAAATGACCAATAATGACCAACCGCAAGTTGAGTTAAAATACTGTGTGACCCTGACATGTATACACATAGCAGTGACGTCACTGTCTTTTTGGCTAAGGGTTGTGGGGTTTCTTTTTGGGGGTAATGAAAATGTGTTTGTGGTTTCACAACTCTGTGAATTATGCAATCTAAAATTAATTGTGATAATGGCTACTCTGAATATTCTGCCAGCCATTGAATTACATACTGTAAGTAGATGCATTGTATAGTGTGTAAATTCTATCTCAATGATGCTATTTGGGGAAGGAAAGGACACCATCCTTGACAAAAGGATCCTTGGGTTTGCTTCTGTTGAGCAGTGCCAACTTATAGATAATAAGAGGGTAATAATAATTACTTCTTGAACTAGGAGAAGGCGTTAAATAAGATATGAAAGTAAGCACCTCACACCTAGCTGGTAGCTGTTATGCCCGCAATTATAAATGCAACACAAATGCGAACACACCAGTGTGGTCATCTCTGTGGGGCTTGTACACACAGCACCTCAAGACACGCTGCCTGCAGTGGTGAGATTTGGGACTTCCCAAGCCCACAGTCAGAGGCCTCTTCCGGTGCCATTCTCAGGCCCACCCTGTTTCTGGAAGTTGCTTTCCATTCAAGGTTGCAGGACTGGGGTGAAAAGTCATCAGTGGGGAGGCGACAGTATCTGGATTGTTGGAGTGAGGCTGCCTATTCACACGCTGAGCATGGGCTGGAGGGACACCCCAGGGAGGAGGAGGGGCCCTGCCGCTGGCGACATTTCCTGTGTGAAGCGTGAACCATAGCTTTGCTCACCGAAGGCTGGCCTGTGCTCGTGTTGGAGTTCTTTTCCTCCTCTCCAAATGGAGCTTCCTCATCTCACTTCTCATCATTCCTGTCCTGGCTCCCCTGCATGTTCCATGTCAGCAATATTTCAATTCCACTTTCTCTTCCTTCTTTCTCTTACCCAGGCTGCCTTGCCCTTCCTTTCTCTATATATAAACTTTGGAATGTGCGTACTTCCTCATTTTTCAGGTACCTTCCAGTCTAAGCCAGTGGTTACCAACTCTGGCCGCTCATTAGAATCATCTGGGGTTTTGCTAGGAATAGCTACATGTCTGGCCTGGAACCCGGGTCACCCTTAGGAGAGGGCATTAGCATTGAGCCGACAGGTGTTATGACCCAGGCACTGAAGGACACCTTCACAGACAGCCTGAGAACTTACAGACGCCCGGGCCTAGATTTAACTTGTCTAGAATGGGGCCTGGTCACTGAATAGCACCCGCACTGATCCACTGGCCAGCCCTTCCCACTGCATTTGGATGACAGGAGCAGTTTTCTGACTTGTCATCTCACCTCCATCTTTAACAGCCACTCCTGCCCTCCCGGTACATGCAGAGGTATACGAAGACACACCTGTGCTTTTAACACTTCTCAGCAAAAGTCACTTTCCACTTGTGTTTCCAGCCCTTTCCTGGCTCATACCTACTTCTTCAGGACTCCTTTACTGGAAATTGGCCTTCTAGATTAAAGGCCCACTGCTCTCTCCTGTCTACCTCGCCTTCCCCATGCCAGACCTAGCTTGCCTTTTTAAGACCCACCTGGACCGCTCATGTTTCTCCTCTGCCTCCCTACTGCCCTCCTTATTGGTGTCACCTTAATCCAGGTTTCTTACTCAGCCCCATACCCTCATAGTCACAGGAGACAGCCGTAAGCAGATAGACTTAAGGGTCTATCCACAATATTCCCACGAGTGCAGATTCCAGCCCCACACAGGACTGGCGTCTCCCTTGGGGCAGGAAAGATGAATTTCCTCTGGAGCCCTGCTGGAGGCTGAGGTCAGGACTGGGCATGCTTCCTAACTGCCATTTCCCAACTTGCTGAATAGCATCCACAGCAAAATGAAAGAATTTAAACAATGAAGACTTACCTACAATCTTCAAATTAAAACTCCTCTCCAACAGGCTTTTTCCTTTTTTATTAAATATTGATACCTTGTAGGTATTATTATCATTTTTCTTCAGATGTTTAATTTTCAGCGTTCCATTTTGTAATATCTCGTATCTCTCAATTGGCGAGGTATTGTTCCTGTCTCTGTGAAACTGTGCAACCTTGCTCTTATTTGATCCTATTCTCCATTGTATATCATCGACGAGATCACTCATGGAAAAATCGGGAATATCCAAGTTGATGTCCTGGTCCACAACACCGCAGAGAGGAATAGGCTCGGAGTCTTGACCTATAAAAAGCAAGACAGTTATTGAGGTCTTGGGACCCACTGCGAGGGAAAGCTAAGCTGTGACTTCTTTGACTCTTACGCTCATTTCAAGTTCTCCAAAAAAAAAGCTTCTAATGTTCACAGTGAAGACCCACACCCCACCTTACCTTTAGCGGAAGAGCTGAAAATCAGAAGGAAGCTGGCTAAAATGTGATATGGGAGACTCATCTTTGGGTTAGTCTCCTTGTGATTCTGAGCTCCTGTTGCAAAAGGAACTGAAGTAAGACTGGTAGAATCCACCCTCTCAGAGCTTAACCACGTGCTTGTCTTTCTGACTTCTTTTAGAACAGCATACACACACACACATACACACACACACACACACACGAGCAAACCTACCCTTCTGATGTGCTCCTTTGCCAAAGCAGGTGTGTTTATGTGTTTCTCATCACATCTTAATCCTTACGCAAAAAGTTTGAGGCTGTGGGGGTGGGTTTTTATCATCCCCATCAGAGAAAAAAGGAACTGAGAGTTTAAGTGAATCAACCAGGATCCCCGTTTTGTAAATGATGAGCCAGATTCAATCATATAGTTAGTTTTGTATCCACACGGCAACATTGACTCTAACAAGACAGCACATAAATACAGGTAAATGTCCTTAAGTGTGAGAAGAATGCAAATATTTATTGTACAATTAAAAATATTAGAAAATGAGGGGTCAGCAGGTGATATTGTGGTAAAGGTGCTGACCCCCCACATGGCTGATGGCGGTTCAAGTCCCAGACCTGGCGGATTGCTTTCTCACTTTCCTTTTCTCTCTTCCTCTCACTCTCTGTCTCCTTGTCTCTGGTCAATTTTTTAAAAATAATAACAAATTAAATAAATAAATAAATAATTTTTTAAATATTAGAAAATGTTTCTATAGAAAATGATAAAGAAATGGATTTTTTCTCATTTCCAGAAGATGTTTATAATGTTCTAAAATTGTTTTTGTGATAAAAGAAACTTAAAGTAAGTCTTAGCTCTAACTGTTTGAAATTCCCAACTCTTACATTTCACACACATTTGGGACCAGCAGTTGGCGTAGTGGCTATGTCGCTGGACTCCCATGTAGTCTATCGCGGTTTGAGTCCCGGACCCAGTGGCTTAAACTCACGCCAGGCGTGTGTGCGTGTGTGCCCAAGATCCCAAGAAGGGAATGGAGAAGGGATTGTGACATGGCCATCACCCTGGGGGGTGATTTCTCGCTTTCTGTCTGTTCCTCTCTGTCTTTTTGGTGAGCACACATGCCCTATAGGGAAAAAAAAAAAAGGAAAAAACATTTAGCACACATTTTACACAATGATCATTGAAATTCACAGGTAAATAAGAACTAGTCCCCAAACAAACCAACAAACAATAAAAGTGTAGAAACCATAAAGTGCTGTTAAATAACCAGAGCGTATGATCTAAAAACATTTAAGGTGGCTAACACATAGATAGGGAATGAGATTGAGAAGGAGAAAAAAAAATAAGAACGAGTTGAGAGAGAAAAAGTGAAAGAAAATGTGAAATCTGAGGAGAGACAGTGATGCGGAAGTGAATGCACCCTGCAAATGATGCAGAGAGAGATCCATCCACAAAAGAAGGAGGATAACCAAATCACAGACTGCCAAAGTAAATTCCAGTTTTATGATTCTTTACGACACAGTTAGAGAAAGTCTTAAAAGTTGTGCTTGGGAGCCAGGAGTGGTGTGGTGGTTAAGGCACCGAATTCCCCCTTGGCCAACTGCTGTGCGACTCACAGACCCGGCAGCTTGAAAATCACACTGGGTGCGTGTGTGTGTGCTCAAATCCTGAGAGGAGAATGGAGGAGAAGGGATGGTGCCATGATCATCCCTTTAGGAGGTGCTTTATCACTTTCCCTCTCTGTCTCTCCCCTGCAAGCACAGGAGCCCTATGGCAGAACCTTTAAAGAAAAGGGGTGGGGGCACTTTAGGTATAAATATGGATATTCTCTCTTAAGAAAGTTGTCCAGGAAATGATTAAGTCAAAGCAACAGACTGCTACAACTGGATAAGAGGTAATCTAAACGGAGTATTTACTTGCGTGGTAAAATCCTAACTCCCACTGTCCACTATAATACATTACAATGAGTTAAAAATTTAAATGCTAAAAAAACTGTAATAATGATAAGACAATATAGGAAGATATCTTTAAATTTTTGACAATGAAATACCTGCCAATTTATATTCTGCATCCAAAGTAATAAAAAAAAGATAAACAGAAATTGACTACATAAAAATGTAAGATTTATGTATAGGCAAAGATATGATAAACAATGAAAAGATTTGACGAAATATTTCCAATATATATAAAAATTATTAATATCCAAGATACATAAATAATCTCTTAATATCTATCAACAACAAGAAGTTTTTTAAAAAAAAATTATTATTTATTTAATTTTATTTATTCATTCATTTATTTTAATTTGACCAGAGAGAAACACAGAGAGAGAGAGAGGGAAAGGGAGAAAGGAAGCCGCCAGGTCCGGGACTCGAACCATGGTCGACCATGTGGGAGTGTCCAGCACTTTAACCACCATGCCACCTGCTGGTCCCAACAACAAGAAGTTTTTAAATTGAGCAAAGACTATAAATGATTAGTTTACAGAAGAAATATCAAACAAAGAAGAGATTAATGTCACTATATATATATGAAATATATATTAGCCATAAAATACCACTTTTGACCATTGGATTGAAACAATCAGAAAAGATAATAATTTATATTATTGACATAAATGTGGGGAGAAACAGATACTTTTAAATAATATTGAAGGAGTTGTAAATATTAATACCTCCTGGGATGAGTGAAATTTTTCCACCAAGCTGAAATATAGTACATACATTTTTGCCCTAGTAATTTTAATTTGAGAAATAACCTTAAACAAATGATTATATAACTGTGCAAAAATTCTGTTCAAGAATGTTTGTTGTAGCATTTTTTTGTAATAAAAATTGCAAACAACTAAATTATGGTACATTCATATAATAAAATATGAGAAGACTTCAAAAGGTTCATGGAAAATGTAATTTAAAGATAAAAATAAGGGGTCAGCAGGTAGCATGGTGGTTAAGGCTTGACTCATATTTGATCAATTGTGGTTTGAGTCCCAGACCCAGTGGCTTGAAAATCATCTCAGGTGGGTATTCATGTGTGCCCAAAATCCTTAAAAGAGAATGGAGGAAAAGGGATTGCAGTGTAACTCTCTCTCCTGGGAGTGATTACTCATTTTCTCTCTGTCTGTTCAGTGAGCACATATGCCCAATGGCAAAAACTAAGAAAACAAATTTTAAAAATAAAAATATAAATTTTATTTCTCAACATAAGCTCCATCAAGTTCAGGACACTCTTATATAAGCATTTATATCAGTCATTGAGGTCTTTCCAAAACAACTGATGACCCTAGGAATTTAGCCACGTCAATACACTCTTTTTTACACTATTAAATGAAGAAAAATGTACACTCTTCAAATATTTTTAAGATTAAGAAACAAACAAATGAAAAAGTCAGAAGGAGCCAAATCAGAACTGTAAGAACTAATGATGCCCATCAAGCTTCATTGCCCTTGTTTGATGAGAGAAATCGGCAGGAACATGGCCAAAGAGGAGAAGGAGTTTCTGGTAAAGACTTTTCAGGCACTATGTCGCTGGACTCCCACTTAGTCGACTGCAGTTCGCGTCCCGGACCCGGTGGCTTAAAACTCACTCCGGGCGCATGTGCGTGCGTGCCCAGGATCCGGAGAGGAGAATGGAGGAGAAGGGATTGTGGCGTGACCATCCCCCCTGGGGGGTGACTTCTCGCTTTCTGTCTCTATGTCTCTCTCTGTCTGCCTGGCGAGCGCACGTGCCCTGTAGCGAAAACCTCTCCAAAAAAAAAAAAAGACTTTTCACGCATTTTTCTGCCAAAGTTTCGGCAAAGTCTCTCAAACCACTCTCCATTATAAGCAGACGTCATGATTCTTTGGCTGTCCAGAAAGTCAACTAGCAAAATGCCTTGAGCATTCCAAACAACTGCTGTCATGACCTTTATTCTTGACTGCTGCATTTTGCTTCCACCTCTTGGTAGCCATTGCTTTGATTGTGCTTTGTCTTCAGGATCATCTGGGTAAAGTCATGTGTCGATCCTGTTGCAGTGCTTTACAGAAATGCTTCAGGATCTTGATCTCACTAGTTTGCAGTTCCCATTGAAAGCTCTGTTCTTGTCACAACTGATCTGAGTACAACAGTTTTGGCACCCACTGAGCAGAAAGTTTATTTGACTTAAATATTTAAGTCAGAATTCTGTAAAATGAATCAACTGAGATGTCTAGGGTATTGGTTATTGTTTCTGCTGCTAATTGTGGCCCTTTTTTTCCTTCTTCTTCTTCTGATTTATTTATTTATTTACACTCATTCACTGTACATCAATACAGTATACAAAATGAGATTTTCCATCCAGTATACATTGTATATTGGCTCCATCAAGGATATTACCATACATGTTATCATCAACAAATAATTATCTATTTCTTGTTTCTTATATATTTTTCTTTTTTTCCCCCTCGATTCCCTACCTCTCACCCTCTGCCAACTGCCCCCCTTCTCCCACACTGTCTCTGGTATGCACAGTTGTTTTCCATGCTATTTTTTTCCACATTTTATTGATTATATACACATATATATATTTAAGAATGGATGTCTGATGTAAGGTGTAGACCTCAGTGAGTAAAGTGAACATGCTATAAAGTAGCCCCCTTTCTGGGGCTATATAGCTTACTGCAGTCATCAAATAGGTATTAATAGGTATTTTTAATGCATTTTTAAATTTCAAAAAATTGTAGTTTTAATAGATCAAAATAAAAAAAATGTTATGGGAAATTTGCTTAAAACTTAAAGCCAGGAAAAAGTTTAGGATTCAGTTCAAATAGTAGATAGATGAAGTTATCAACAGTTCAAGAGAAGACAAAAATCTTTAAATATGGAAATCAAAGCACTGAAGAAAATCAGCAATGCTTTAGTCTGAAGTAAAAAAATTCTATTTCACAGAACCAGCAATTGGCATAATGGCTATACCACTGGACTCCCATGTAGTCGACTGTGGGTTTGAGTCCCAGACCTGGTGGCTTAAACTCACACCAAGTGCGTGTGCATGTGTGCCCAAGATCACTAGAGGAGAATGGAGGAGAAGGGATTGCGGCGTGGCCATCACCCTGGGGGGTGATTTCTCGCTTTCTGTCTCTCTATCTCTCTCTGTCTTTCTGGAGAGCACACGCGCCCTATAGCAAAAACCTCTCCAAAGACAAAACAAAACAAAACAAAATAAATAGACTTAATACCTTCTATTTTTATAAAATTTAAAAGGCTGATAGTAGCAATATTAAAACTTTATATTAATTAAAGCATGGTAATTTATTTAAAGATGATATAGACATTTTATGAATACTTATCATCTCAATTAAGCACAACTTTAAGATCTTAAATTATCTGAAAATTGGCGTCAGTAGTGGCATAGTGGTTAAAATGCTGCACTTCCACATGGCTGACCACAGTTTGAGCCCTGAACCAGGCAGCTTGAAAGTTATGACTGACATGTGCACATGTGAGCCCAAAATCCCGAGAGGAAAATGGAGAAGAGGGATTGCAGCATGGCCATCCCCCCTGAGGAGTGATTTCTCACTTTCCTTCTCTCTGTCTCTATCTGACTCTGGCAGTGCATGTTGCCCTATGGCAAAAACCTCAGAAAGGAATTATCTGACAATTTTATTTGTAAATGCACCATGTATAATCACTTAAATTTTTAAAGTCATTATGCCTTGATTACCTGTGAAACCAGCTACTAGAGAAAGTTAGTCATCAATCCATTTTTATTAATTAATGTTATAGTAGATTAGATATCTACCATGTAACATATAATACATAACACATAAATATTAACTGTTCTACAAAAACAGCTATATTAAGATAAATATGATGTTGTCTTATCAATAACACACTGGACCATATATGTTGAAAATTATGAAGCTCTTACTAAACTTTTTAAAACATATTTGAAGCCAGTTCATTTGTCAAAGATTTACTTAAGTTACGTGACCTTGAAAAGCACTTAGTTTAATTTGTATGAGCACTCATATATATGCCAAATTGAAGAGAATTCCTTCACGTCTTTAACACATAGACACACAACATATGACACATTGTATGTAATGCACATACATATATGCACATGTAAACAAAAGATTTCATGGTCTTTTGAAATGTTTTTTTCAACCCTTTTTTTTTGTCTTTTTTAAAAGAGATTCTATAAGTTAACCCTTAGATGTGCATCTCTTATCTTAGGCTTGATTACAAGAAAACCAAAGTTTTTAGGCAAATTGAAATACCTTTAGTAAGCAAAGGGGATCCTGCAGAGCTGAGAATGCTCCATACTTGAACCCTGGAATTATAGGTCTTGAATGGGCACCTGTGTGCATGCACACCCAAAATCCTAAGAGGAGAATGGAGGAAAAGGGATTGTGGCATGGCCGGCCGTCCTCCCAAGGGATGATTTCTCACTTTCTCTCTCTCTGTCTCTGTGTCTCTGGTGAGCACATGCACCCTATAGCAAAAATCTCTCTTAAAAAAAAAAAGAGAGAGAGAGAGAGTTTAAAGGTCAAAAGGTCCCAGTAAGAGGACAAGCCACAGTGAGGAGTCCCCCAGGGAAGAAGGGAGATTTTCCACCTGGAAGGGGGGAATAAAGGGGAACATTTAGAGGTGAGTTCAGAAACAGCTCTGCAGAGGGATGCCTCCAGCATTTCCGGCCTTGCTTCTAAATGTTCCCTGGTGTGCAAAGACGGGAAAGAGCACATTTCCTCTCCCTGCCTCCAGACTTAGTGACTTACCAGAGGTCCTCAATTGCTGGGGCACCCTCCCAATTCCTGGAGCTACAAAGAGACCTGCTCTCAGAATCATCCTCTTGCCTAAGACTGGGGGACCTGATATGAGGGATCAAAACTACTCCAGGGGCTCATTATCATGAAAGAGACAATGCCTAAAGAGGCAAAATACTATCTGCAAGGAAGGTTTTAGGGACATGAGCCAACCCGAGAAACTGTGAGCCAGAAGGCCTGGTACCCACAGGGACTGTAGTCACAAGAAAACAGAAGGCAGGGGAGACGGTTGGGTACCCAAGCCTCTAGAAATCCAAGGCGCCTGGAAAGACAAAGAGCAGCCAGCCACAGGGAGGACAGAGACCATGAGGCTAAGAGGGAGCCTGTGTCAGTAAAGGGCGGCTGAACCCGCAGGGTGGAAGGGCTCACAGTCACAGATGTTGCCAGTGGGAGGGAGTTCATTGGTGCTGGCAGTAGGCGAGCCATCGGAAAACACCTGGGAGTGGGTCCGAGTCACTGTATGTTATCGGATGGGGAATCTGTGTCATGTTCTATGAAATACTTGTTTTCATGGGTCTGGGCCCCTCAGGTGAGAGACCCATCCTGAGACAGAATGAAGCCGTGATCAAGAGCAAAGTAGGTAAAAAGATGTTTTTTAAGGGGAAAATGAAGGTTTTTTTTAACAGAAAAACGATGCCCTATACCAGAAAGGCAGTTGGTTGTCAGAGGACAGCCACGCTGGGAATGGGGTCAGGGGTCACCTTTATGGTGGGGTCTTGTCATGGTATTTAGCACAGAGGTCTGTATGTGTAGCCAGTTCTTGTTTGCATGGGGGGGCTTTTGTTGTGTCTGTGTACTTCTTGTCAGTCAGGGAACTTCACTGCCTGGCTGGGGGAAGTCACCTGCATGGCCAGTGAGGACTTTGCAGGCCTGAGCATGTGCACAGAGGCGATTTCGTCCATACCAGTTTATTGCCGTGAGTGGGAGGTAGGATATTGATTAAGCTTCCTGAAGATTGTCTGTGTGCATATGTGGAATGGCAGGAGAGATGATAGTAACCTTCTTTAGGTCTTTGGGAGAAAGCTTAGGTAGTAAAAAAGTGAGAGTGGGACCAGAAATTGGTGTAATGGCCATGTCGCTGGACTCCCATGTAGTCGACCGTGGTTTGAGTCCCAGACCTGGTGGCTTAATCTCACGCTGGGATCCCAGGAGGAGAATGGAGGAGAAGAGATTGCGGCGTGGCCATCTCCCTAGGAGGGAAGGTGATTTCTTGCTTTCTGTCTCTCTGTCTTTCTGCTGAGTGCACACACCCTATATCAAAAACCTCTCCAAAAAATAAATAAATAAAATAAAAAATAAATAAAAATAAAAAAGTGAGCTAAACATCCCCTTCCCAGCTCCTGGAGGGAGTTGAGAGTCCAGAGAAAGTCCGGTTGTAACCCCTGATACACTGCAATTGATGAGGCAGAAGTTGTGCCATGGTTGCAAACCAGTCTAACCACCTGTAACACTTCTGCCATTGCAGTGGAGGGTCCTGAGCCCAGGTAGGTAGTAGGGTGTCCTGTCCACCTAGGCCGAGTCAACACCTAAGCCCCAGCCTCTTGACATGCGCTCCAAACTTTGCACACTGCCTGCTCCCCGAGCCTGTATTGAGCCACTGCCAAGTCCCTCTCACCTTCTTGCACGACACCCATCTCCTCCTTGTACCTTTCCTTGTGCCTTTGCTATTCTTTTCTGCAAACTTAGGGAGACACACAAGGAGTGAATGGAGCACTGTTTTACTAAAAGCTGACACTTGCCAGGGCTTCCGTGACCATCGGAAAGGCCACACCATGTGTCTGTGGCAGCCAGGTCCTGTTGGCGTCAACTGGGTTGTCACATTAGTACCAGCATCAGCATTGGCTTTGGCGTCAGCTTTCATAGGCCTCGTTGCCAGGCCCTGAGTGAGCCACTCTCGGACGGGGCCTCCCGTGTCGGCCACCAGTACCGATTCCGCGCTGAGTCGAGCTCTCTTCTCCCAGATGAAGAGCTTCTCTGTGAGCCTGTTCCTCTGCCAGGGGCTGTCTCCTCCAGGGGAAAACCTGAGCTTTCTTCTCCTCTTGTGCTTCTCGCCCACACGGCAGAGATAACAGAATCAGCCTACGGTGACAGTTCCTGTGGGAAGCCTGGGTTTCTGAGATGAGAGTCACCCATTCTGGAAGTCCCCTGGGGGGGAAGTGCCTCTTAGACAGAAGAGCACAATAGTCTGTCACCAGATGTGTAATCACGTGATTGCAGAGAAAGGAGCCAGGAACCAAGCCGCCCACCTCGCTGCGTCCTAGACATACAGATCTGAGCACATCAGGTCACGTCCCGGGACCTCGGTTTCCACATTTGGGAAAGACACATACTTCGTCCTGAAGCTTACTGTGAGAGTCAACTGAGGTGAGGTGTCCAGGGCCTAGCCCAGTGCCTGGCCCCTAGGAGAGCCTCAACAAATGCCGGATCCGTCCCTGTTTGCTCTCTGCTCCTGATGGAGAGGCCTGCCTCACAACATAAAGAAGCTGCACCGTCAGAACTAAGCCCAGAAAGCTCGAGGCTTCTCAGGACTTTCTAGCAAGAAGTCAGGGACTGAAACAACAAGGAAACCTTATACGATTTCATGTAGGTGTGTTATTTTCTCTGTATTTTATTTTATTTTGAGACAGGGTCTCACTGTGTTGCCCGGGCTGGTCTCAAACTTGCAGTCCTCCTTCCTCGGCCTCCTGAGTAGCTGAGACTAGGGGTGCATTGCTGCACCAGGCTCTCATTTTCATTTTTGCAATCCTCCTCCTCCAGTTTACTTCTCAAGGTTACTTAGCTATCAAGTCAGCAGGGCGCATGAATCTGATCCAGGAAGCAGTGATGTAGTGGTATCGGGACACAGAACACTTCTCAGCAGCAAGGCTTGGGAACAAGAGCGCCAGGACACTAAGTTTATGAAGACCGCTTCCCAGAGAAGAGGGAGATTCACTGAGGCCCAGGCCCTGAGATTAAAGGGAGGGGAGACGTGACCCGGCTTTGGCCAGAGGAGGGTCCACAGTGGCTTACGTGGCTCGAAGTCTATGCAGCTCTCCACCAACAGCAGGTGCCCAATAAACAAACACGTGCTGGCTATGTGAGCTACTGAGCAGAGCAGGTGGGAGAGGTGCCGGTCTGGTGGAATTCGAGCCAGAGAACTCAGATTTAAAACATGAATTCTCACTTTTTCTACCCGCTGTCTTTGTGATCTTCAAAGTAACTTCTTTGGGCCCCACTGTCATCACGTCTGAAGTGTGAGGTGAGGTAGGGAGGATAACTGCTTGCCTAATTTAGCATGAACATTTGTGGTAAAGGCTAGGTAAGGTCACTGACGAAAACCGCACTCTGTACACCAGCAGTTGTCAGACAGCCTCTTGCTGTAAGGGTGGCCATTAAAACGCCTGGGGGAAATCACTCCGGGACAGTTTCTGGGGTTTGATTCAGTCATGGCCAGATCTCCTGGCAGGAGAGAGGGCAGTGTCTTCAGGGTCCGGAGAGCTGGGAAGAAAAACAACAAAACAAACCTCTCAGGCAGCCCTTCCAGCAGCATCTAGGTGGTTTTATTTCAAAGGACCACAGGGCAAAGGTCCTGCCTACTGCTGCCACCCTCTGGTCACAACCTGAACTGCAACCTTGTTAACTTCCCCTGCCAATTAGAACACCTAACTTTTTTACGTGTTCTAGTACATTGTTTGCATTTGCATAGTGTTTAGCAGCTTACTCTTTTCCTTCCATCAAAAATTGTATTCTTCTATCCACACAATTTCCCTGTGTTACAAACACTTTCGTAGACAAAGACTCCAAGACTTGGAAAAGTTCAATGAACTATGGAAACTCAGCCAGGTGAACCCCAGGGTTTCTAATTCCAAGATGGTGTTCTTTCCACTATCAGTAAGGGTGTGTCTGTTAGTCCTGAGAATATGACAGCTCTCAGGATGGGACAGAATCTGATACTAGCATGCCTTTCTCCTACCCTACACACCTGCCAGGGCCCTCTACTCCCCATTCCCAGCCGTACCTGCAGCTGCCTATGGGCAAGGAGGGGAAGGGGCCACAAACTTGAACAGGGCACACACGGTCCTCCTCCCCGGGGCTCTCTGACTGCTGAGGGGAGAGGCAGGTACCCACAAGTACCTGGGAAGTGCCACAGACAGCTGCGGGTGGGATAACCGGACATCAAAGGGACTCCAGCTAGGAGAGGTGGTGCCCGGACTGGTCCTCAGAAGGCAGCAGGATGCGACTTCATGCGAGAGATGAAGGACATCCCAGGCAGAGGAAGCAGCAGGAGGCAAGCACAGACCAGCGAAGCTGAAGCTGAGGCTTCGGGCCTGGGGATACTTTCATTCTCCAGTTCGGCAGAGGGGGAGGCAGGGGCTGGAGCTGGAAAGGGAGATTTGGCGAGATCGCAACAGGATGAAATTCATACTGTTTTCTAAAAGCGATAAGCCATTTATTCTTCATGTCTCCCGTTGATTATTTAACAAATTATTTAACAAGTATTTATTGTAATAGATAATATCCCAAATATTACCATTTGTTTCTCAGGAAAAGAGCATAAACAGCCCTTGGTTACATAGTATTAATTTATGTGATGAAACAAATAAGTTTATACTGACTGCCTGCTTTCCTCGTGCCTGGTACTCTTCTAGGCCAGGGCTGGATCCTTGCCCACGCTGAATTTACATTCTGGGGGAGACAGATCATAAACATAAGTAAAATGGAAGCATCTAGACTTTTTACTGAGATAGAGCATGTGCGCGCACACATGAGAGAAGGAAAGAGAGAGCGAACACCCCCACAGGGTCCTGTCATGCCACTATCCCCTTTCTCCAACCCTCCAGCACCTCTGGCTCTTGGATGCCCGTGGTGTGCCCGGTATGTTTTCAGGTCACCTTGGGAATCTGAACTCACAGCTGGTCACGTGGGCTCCAGCCGTGCAGGGCACTGTGGCATTGTTTGGTCACAGTGGGTGGGTCCCAAATGTAAATGTTTAGGTAGTGACAAGTATTTAGCAGGAAATAGGTTCTGCAAGCTGGGGTGGGAGCTGCACTTTTAGAAAGGATGACCACAACAGTCTCACTCAGAAAGTGGCTCTGAGACCTGGGGGAGGTGAAGGAGACTCAGGGAAGAGCAGTCCAGGCAGAGGGAACAGCAAGAGCAAAGGCCCTGCGGTGGGACCGACCCGGCATGGTTGGGCACCAGAGAGGAGGCCAACGTTGCTGAGGAGAGAGGGCAGAAAGGCAGAGGAGAAGAGATCAGAGACAAAGAGAGACGGGCAGGCTGAGGAGGAGCTGGCAGGAAGCTGAGCTCAGCAAAGGAGCAGCTCAGCTGAGTTCTTTCTTCAGCTTAGGGCAGTGCAGAAAGAGCCTTCTCTGCAGTCTGACCCACAGGTCTGCCTCAGGGATGGGAGGTGCTCCAGGAAGGACCCAGGTTCCCTTTAATGTTCAACACTAACCCTGGTTACGTTTGCTGCCCTGCAGACCGCTGCATGCTCAGTGGCTTGAAACACCCACCATGTGGTTATGTTCATGGCCTGTGCAGGCCTGGCTCCTCCTGCAGAGCTGTACCTGGGGCCCTGCAGGGAAGACTCGAGGGGTGGGTGATGGAGGGGTGGGTGATGCTGGGGTGAGCCGGGACAGCAGGGTGCACGTGTGTGGTGGTGGCTTCACTCGAAAGCCTACTGCCAGTGCCTTGAGGGTGGAGGAGAGCTGGCCGGAGCAACCCATGTGGCCTCTCCATGGAACTGGGGTTCCTTGCAGTGAGGATGAGAAGCAGCCTTCAGAACAGGGGCTGCCAGAGAGCGAGTGTTCCAAGAGAAGCAGGTGGAGCTGCTCGGGCTTTTCCGAGCCAGCCTCGGGAGTCCCAGAGCCGCCCTTCCACTGAAGTGTCCGAAAGAGTCACAGAGCCCAGGTCAAGGGGAAGGGACTCAGATCCCACCTCTTCATGAGAACTCCGCTGAGGAGCTAGCAGCTTTTAAACACCACCACAAAGTGCCTTGAGAGCAAGTTGCAACAGAGATGCTGTGGACCTGAATTTTATCATTGGAAGAGAGAGAGACCCACGCAAGCTTCAACGCTGTGCCCGTGTGAAGAGACCTACTGCCCCCTGTCTCTTCCTCATATAAAGGGACAAGCCCTCCAGGAGGTGCCTGAAAGGGGACTGGGTCCCAGCCCTCCTCCCACCCTGGGCTGCGTCTATAAACACGTAGCTCATCCTCCTCCCTCCCTGGAGAACAGAGGGAGGGCAATGTCATGAGCCGAACTTGTGCCAAGTCTGTATTAATAAACCCTGAACTATATTGGCAGCTTTGTGGTTTTCTGCAGCCTTTTGCAGCCTGGAAAATGTTTTCCGATTAGAAGCCCCTGCTGTTTTATCTATTCCATGTGAAACAGAATAAGTCTCTGCATGTCCACTGGGGGTTGGTGAGTAACAGAGTGTGCAGCGAGGGGAAAGGAATTAAAAAGGGAGCTAATGTCCTCCATGGGGAATAGCAGGGGGAAGGGGACTGCTCTGGGAGAGAGGGGCTGCAGGAGGAGGTTTCTGCAATGTGTTCTGGCCACGCGGGGCAGGAGCACACGTGTGTCTGTCACCCGTGGCCCCAACATGGAATAGGCAGCTGCAAAACACGTTATGCCATGGGCTGACTAATGGGGGAAATGTTTATCTCACAAGGCAGATTTGACTTCCTGAAAGCCATATGCTTGCTTTTCTTTTTCCCAAAGAACCCACAATCTCATGTGGGAAAAACTCAGAGTTTCATTGCATTCAGAGAAGAGGGAATTGGAAATGTTAGATAAATAAAGACCACTTAGAACAGCGTTTCGTAACCCTCCTACCCCTCCCAAGTCCCCAGAGCTGTGGGTGAGGGCCATAGTGCAAAGCCACAGAACCGTGGCCAGAACTGCAAGGCTGAGGTGTGGAGAGGGACGTGGGGGGCATGAGGTGGTGGGGGCCCCGTCCCCGCTCCATTGCTTACCCTCTTGTCAAACCGCATTCACTTTGCCTATAACACAGTGGGAGGGCAGTAGTGTCTCACAACGCCCGTGTGAGTATGTAAGGGTGTGCTTTGGGCCGCCAACATGGGGTCTAGCAGGACAGTCACGGGTCAGTTATTCCATGAGGACGTAATTTACAACCTAACCGAAGCTAAGGTATTCGTGTGTCCACGTCTTAAGTAGATATGAATTGACGCTGAACTAGAACACTGTCCTCAAGTGGCAGACGCCCAGCTGGAAAGACCTCACTCAGAAGGAAGCGATTAGCTCCTTCGTTCATTCATCACCCCAAGACAATGGGTAGTGTGTCCTCTGCTCCTAGATGTTCTTTAAGTTTGTGTCTTGGTCCAGCATGGTAGAGGTGGTTATGGCCTCTGGTCCACTCTCCCTGGTGTTGGCTTCATTGAATAAATTCCTTTCCTTAGTCACCAACTTGTAGTTCTTTGTCAAGCAGTGAGAAAGAACTGACTTCTGGTCTTCAGAACAAGCCTCCCTGTCCATTCTAGCAGAAAAAAAATTAATAAAGTCACTGCGCTGCGGTGTGCGTCGGTAGACACAGATGCTCCACAGACAGAGCTCATGGGAGGCTCAGGTTCAGTTCCTGGCCCACCATCCAGACTGGGCATGGTGGAGCATGCCTGTGGCCCCAGCTACTTAAGAGGACAAGGCAGGAGGATTGCCACAAAATGAGACCTGTCTTTAGAAAAGGGGGGTGGGGGCTGGCTATGTCTCAGACAGAGTGCTGACGGGACTAGCTTACAGGCCGGGTGTAAGGTACGGGTGTATGGCAAAGGTCCGGAAGTGGATCACGCGCAGCTGCATTCTTGAGCTCTCACAATAGGATCAGGACCCTCTGTCCTTCTGAATCTCTTGGCTCTGCTGCTTCCACGATGGTTTCATTTTCGGGAGACACTCTTAAGGGGTAGAGAAGGGGCCACCAGCGCCCCGTGACCCACTTCTGGAAGTTCTCTCAGAGGAGCAAGGTCTCTGCAATGAATCTGCTCTGTAGTCTCAGTGGTTTGAACTGGGTTATGTTCTCAGCCCCGGAACAGTGAGAATAGCCGGGGGTGGAATTACACCAGTGGGGTTTGGCCTAAGCTGCTGTCTCCATTCCTATCCTTATGGGTCTAGTTACCTTCCCTTAAGCATAGGGGGAGTTGTGGATAATAGAAGAAAACCCGAGGGTGGCTTGGAGAGAAGGGGGCTGAATGTGGGTTGGCCACCACAGTGTCTGCCACGGGAAGGTGTAATAGGAGCATCCGATGTGAACGGGCTGGCTCTGTGGTGCAGCAGTAATGCAGTGCTCCAGAGAGCCCAGATCCCCCGTGGAGACTGCAACGCGAGTATCTGGCCCAGTCAGCTTGAAACACACCAGCAACGTGTATGAGTGCCCAGATCCAAAAGGCCAGAAGACTAGAAGGGACTACAGCATGACCAGGGCCTGTGGAGGGCACTTCGCTCGCTCTCTTCATCTCCCTCTCCCTCTCTCTCTCTCTTGCACACTTCTGCTTTCCATCCTCAATAAAGAAAAAAAGAGCCAGCCCATAACCTGGTTAGTTAAGGCAACTGTAGCCTACATGCCCAACTGTGTGGTTTGAGTCCCAGACCTGGCAACTTGAAAAACATGCTGGGAATATATACTGACTACCCTCACTCTGTGGTAGAGATTGAACTATTGCAGGGCATAAAAGCAGTGAAAATAGTTATGGATGCTGAGACAGTGTGGGGTGGGGGCAGGGGGAGAAGGGAAGAGTATAGAGGAGGATAGCACCGGAACAAATAGAGAGGCATGATATTTGTGGGACACAGAAATGGTTTATTTCCTGTTGATAGTAGTCTCAGCTGGACTGGTCTGAGAAGTAGTTCATGTTGGGTAAATTCTCTTTATAGGTCCAATGATGTATAATGATTGAATGTTGGGACCAGCAGTTAGCGTAGCGGCTATGTTGCTGGACTCCCATGTAGTCAACTGCGGTTCGCATCCCGGACCCGGTGGCTTAAAACTCATGCCGGACGCATGTGCATGAGTGCCCAAGATCCCGAGAGGAGAAAGGAGGAGAAGGGATTGTGGTGTGGCCAGGCCCCCGGGGAGTGATTTCTCGCTTTCTGTCTCTGTCTGTCTGGCGAGCGCACGTGCTCCCTATAGCAAAAACCTCTCCAAAAAAAAAAAAAAAAAAAGAATGTTTTTTAAAAATGAGAATAAAAATAATAATAGCAATAATATAAAAAAATGAAAAGCTACATGCTGCTGATAATGTGGATAGTAATGTTTTTGTCTTCACTAATATGCATGGTAATTGTGCTAGAAAAAGAGATCTTATATGCTGTAAAGATATATGTGATTAAATGTAATAAAAAATTTAAAAAAAAAAAAGAAAAACATGCTGGGTGCCCGTGTATGCATGCCCAAAATCCCAGCGGGAGAGAGGAGTGGAGAGAAGCGCTTTCTCCCTCTTCCCGTCCATCTCTCTGTATCTCTGACAAGTGCATGCACACTCTGGCATAATTTTTTAGAAAGAAAGAAAAGAGGATGCACACATTAAAGATGCAAATTGGTGAACTACTATAAAAAAGTTAAATTAATTGGATCAGCAGGTGGTGTGGTGGTTAAGATGTTGGATCCCACGTGACTGAGTTTTCAAGTCCCAGACCCAGTGGCTTGAA